GTCTTCAAGGCTTCCAGAGACGCGTAATCAGGCTTCGCATGGAGGTCAGCTTGGACGTTCCCGTTGGGCGTAAAGATCTTTCATACTGATGTCTAACGTGCTATCTGAAGTCGTAATCGTATCGTATCTCTCGTCTCGAGGCCAACTGCCGACAGCTCAACCAATCCTTCAATAGATTTGATAAACAGATCATGATCCGTATCAGGAAGTTACATGTCCACAATCGTTGGCGGCTCGCGGCTCGCCATAAGAAGACAAAATCAAGGGGTATCTGGGGGTATAAGGTGTACATCTCGCTGAAACGACAGGCCAAGGCCTAAACAAAACGCCGTCGTAGATGCCGTGTCCCAGCATAGGTATCATGAGAAAGAAGAAATGGGTATTTTGTTCTGGGTCATGCAATTTCGTGAAGCGATTAAAGGGTGAGAAGTAGAAGAGCAAACGCCGTCAGGTGGAAAGTTCGAAAGAATCGTGGGAGGTGCCGAGACATGATTTTGCCGCAACGTCGTAGATGTCGTCAGAAGGTGCTAAAGGCCAATCGAGGTTCGTGGCGCGTTCAGCAGTGTCGTCAATGTGCGTTGTGGGAGCAAGTTGTTATGGGAAGTGTGCGCAGTGACCGGCCGGCTCAGTACATGGGCTCGTTTACAATGCCAACCCAATCTTCGAGGAATGACATGGCCACAGACATGCGTTGCGCAATCTGCTCCGACACCCACGAATTGCCAATGTTCATGCCGATGGGAATGTCACCGAAGAGGTCACGACCGTTACCGTGAGCACCACTGCGGCTAGCTACGTTACCATGGCCACCGCCGAAACCGACTCCGTTCGCATTCTTCCAGGTAGCCAGCTCGGCTTGGAGTATGAGTGACCAGACCGCGAAAAGCACAGTGGACAAAATGGGAATCCAGCCTGCGAATCGAGCCTTTTTAGCCCGCGTAGCCATGACAGGCGATGTCTTAGCTATTACACGTTCTTCGGCAGTGTCATTGTTTGTATGCGCCTGAGCTTCGGTCGTAGTATTCGGACGCTCTGGTTCGGGCTTGGGAAGAGTCTGCTCGACAGGTATGATTTCGCGAGTGACTACAACGGGGATGATATGGTTGTTAGGCTTGGCAGTCGTAATCTGAGTGCTCGGTTCAATTGGGGTCGTTGCGAGAGCCGTATGAGTCAGGAGCTGGCTCGTGAGCGCAGGTGCGTCGGTCTGCGCGGACGATTCGGTGGTGGCGACAACAAGCGCGTCGGTCTGAATAGCAAGATCGGTGGTTGTGGGCGCGTCGGTCTGAGTGGAGAAGTTGTTGGTGGTAGCAGGCGCGTCGGTTTGGGTAGAAAATTCGGCGCTGGTGATCTGACGGGCAATCGGACGCGTGCTAGCAGCTTCAGTCACGTCCACAGTGAGCAGTGGAAGACTAGGCTCTTTCGGCGCATAGTTGGCAATCTCGTGTCTGGAAATTGTCGAGGCAACAGACGCAGGCCGCTTGGGCGCAAAGCTCGCAACGTCGTACACGTCGTCGAAAGCGAGGGTGTTGCGAGCTGGCTCAACGGGCTCAGTGCTGACTGAAGTCTGTTCATGCAGGCGCAGAAGTGTACCAGTGGGCTGTTTGGGCGCATAGCTAGCGATGTCATGGACATCAACCATGGAGAGATGAGCGCGAGCGGGCTCGACAGGCTCAGTGCTTGCTGCGTTCTGAAGAGAGTAATCCAGAGGCGCACCAGCAGGCTGGTCAGGCGCATAGCTCGCGATATAATTAACATCGACAATAGAGAGGGGAACACGAGCGGGCTCGACAGGCTCAGTGCTGGCAGCATTCTGAGGGGAGTAGTCCAAAGGCGCAATAGCAGGCTGGTCAGGCGCAAAGCTGACAATATCTTGCACGTCGCACAAGGAGAGTTGAACACGAGGCGGCTCGATAGGCGAAGTGCTCAAGGTCGTGTAAAACCCGGTTGTTTGTTCGGGCACCCTCACGGCTTTAGGCGCGGTGCTGGCGGCCTCGCTGACGTCGATGGTGGACGGCGGCGGTGGCATTGGATCGCGGGGTTCGACACTGGCGGCATTGCTTACAGCAATGGCGTGTATAGACGTCTTGACAGCCACGGGCTCAGTGCTGCCAGCCTTGTTGACAACGATAGAGCATGGCAGTGCGGGGGCTGGGTTGCGAGGCTCCACGCTGGCGGCCTGGCTTATATCGATCTGGCTCTCAGGTACACGTGCAGCAACAGGCGTAACGCTGGCAGCTACGTGAATGGCGGACAAGGACGGTATTTCAAGCTCGTATTCGCTGGGCTCGCAGTCGATAAAGTCGCTCTCGTCGAGCATTAGGCTAGAGAATTCATCTTCGAGTGTGCCTCCCAAGCTGCCGATATGCCTTTGGTCGTCGACTGGAGAGGCAGCGGCCGTTCGAGCAGCTTCGTCGGCGTGGTGAAGGGTGCGCTGCTGCTCCTTCTGAAGCAAGCCCTCCAGGTGACTAATACGCTCATCTTTGACAATGATAGTCCTGGAGTCCTGCTCCTGTATGGCGTGGAGTCCAGCGATATCGTTCTCGAGCTCGGCGACCAGGTTGGAGTCCTCGTGTTCTTGTATAGCCTCCTCCAGGTCCGCGATCCGTTTCTGGTCCGTTGACCATTGATCCTGCAGATCGTCGAACTCCAACTTTTTCTCTAGGAGTTTGACGCGCGTGTCATCGAGCTCGCTGAGCTTATCGCTGTAATTGGCATAAAGCTGCTGGTAATCGGCGGCGAGGTTGGCGTTCTGGTTGTCTTTGTCTTTGAGGGCAGCTTCCTTGAGCGCGAGGTCGTGGTCGAGCTTGACATTGCGCGCTTCGAGAGCCTTGATGGTGCTCTGCTCTTCCACGAGTGTCTCTTCGCTCTTCTTGAGCGCGTATTCCGTGTCTTCTCGTTCGCGCTTGAGTTTTTCGAACTCGTTCTTGTAGCGGGCGTTCTCGTCCTTGAGTCTGTCGCATTTCTGCTCCAAAGACCCAGCTCGGTCGTACTCTTCGTTGAGCTGCTGTTGGAGAGCGTCACAGCGCTCTCTGAGAACCTGCTCTGATTGATTACTCGCAGTTTCTCCCCTCTCAGACATGTTGTTGCTCACCTGCTCCACCCGTCGCGACAAATCAGACTCTTTAAGCGTGGGTACTTGCTTTGTTGTCGCAAACGCCAAGTCACCGCTTCCGGTACTAGCGCCATCCCCAGCCTCCGGCCCTGCAGGAAGACACGCTCCTTTTGGCGCCAGCGCCAGACGTCGACCGCTCAGCGGGCAAAGTGTCGTAGGGTCTTTCAATGCCGAAGCTGTGAAACTTGGCGCTAGCGCCGAAGACCATTTTTGGAAGCATTTTGAAAGTGCCTTTGTGATTGGATTAGAGGAGCGAAGATTAGATGTGAGTAAAGAATTTGACGAGAAAGGGAGAGACGGAAGCAAAGCCCTACAACAGACAATTCTTGTGCACGGCGATTGCCAATCAAGCGCTATTGTATCTTGAGAAAGGCTCAACTCTGGTGAAGCTGCAGACAGAAGTCCTTTCACCTGGTGTATGGGTCTCGATGGCTACACTCAACAACAAAGTGGTTCCACAAGACATTTTGGCATGGTGCAGTCCTCAGAGTGATTCTCCACTTCTAGTTGAATATTTTGATTCCTAGTCGTCAGCAAACAATATTTTCGTCGCTCGGAAAAGGGAACATGGCTGTATCGCGCTCCTCCAGCCTCCCATCTTCTTCGACAACTGCTGCCATTGCTCCGGGTTGTATCTGGCCATCGGACAGACTAGGTCGCCATCAAAGTGCCTTTCCTCACACCTCCAACACTTTGGAGGCCGTCCAGCGTGCTTTCCAGATCTCTTCACTTTGACTACTTTTCCTTCTAGTCGTTTCGAGTTGCGGGCCATTCCTGTTTGATTTATCAAGCGTCCTCTACTGTCGCCCACCACAGGGTCTTTCGGTAGTCCAAGCGGTGCCAGGAACTGCCATTCGAGCCGCTCGTCGAGACCTCTCTTCCATAGCTTCCCCACATACTCCATGTCTGTTTGTATGAGTTGCGACACACAGCAGAAGTCGCCAATACGCCGATGTAGCATCGTGATGGAGTCGCTCTCAAACTGCGACACGCGTATACCCAGTGATTTCTCTCGTCGCTGTCTCAGTTCATGCTCTATCGCTTTAGTCTGAGTAGCCAGTTTCTTTCCCTTCCTCCCCGGTTGCTTGACCATGTCGCTCAGCTCCGTCATATCGAAGGCTTTGTAGAGTACTTTTTGGCGAAGCTCTGTAGGGAGACCAAGAAGACTGGCTTCCGAATAGTGACGTTTGAAGCGACCTGTTGGAGCTGTGATCCAAGGATAGATCCATAGCCGCGTCGCGCGATCTCGTGCGATATGATGCCTTGCCGACTTCCGCAGTGTCCTCCATTCGAATGCGTTGTTTATGCGGAACCTTTGTCTAGACATCTCTTGACGGCGCTTATGCCTTTCGTGTTTGCAAGCATTTTTGCTTTTGACCATCGTGTAACTGCCTGTGTCGTGAGACTAGATCGCTAGGACGCAATCGTGGACTGTGCGGGGTACAGATTCTCCGAAACACCTGAATGGTATCAAAAGAAAGGCTTGCATTGATTCATGTCGATATCGGGGTTCGAGTGCCTAGGTAGAATCAGATCGTCGACATCAAACGGTGCCGAATGCAGGTGCGTGTGGATCTGGGCTAACCGCAACGCGGTAGCGAGATCCAGCCCTGCATTTGTACCGTACACTGAAGCAGCCTTTTGGACCCTTTTACTAGAGAGTTGCATGAAAGATGGCTTTGTTGACTATCCTTACTGATATCGTGTCTCGTGCCATCGGCCCGACGACGGAAGGAATGTGCCCTGGGCTTACTTGAGGGGAAAGTCGAGTCACAATGCCACAGTACCTAGATAGCAAGAGCGTATTAAAAGTACTTTTATATACATTCTTCCATCAATCATGTTCCTTACGGAAGTGAATGGAGACAATACAACGGCTTCCTCAAAGCTAAGCAACATGGCTACCCACATCCAGCAAACTCCCGTCATCGGGTCCAGTAAACTTCTTCCTCCCTGTCATGATCCAGAAAATCAAACTGATAAACATGACCACCCCTGTTGCCGCAGAAGTGTAGTTCATGTTCTCGCTCGTCACAGGTGTGACGCTAGGTAGGTTGGATACAACACAGATGAATGCCAGGTACAAGAATCCGATAATATTGAGCACGATTCCCCAACGTCCAAGAGAGTATGGGCCTTCGAGACGAGTCTTTTTGCCGGAGAAGTGCGCCAGAATGCGGGAGAGGAGAGGCATCAGGTATGACAGATAAAACCCCTGCGTAGCGATGGCGATGATAGTATTGAAGCCAGTCGTTGTACCGAAGTAGATGGAATTGAACGCCATTTGTACGATGGCCGTCAACAGGATGGCGTATACCGGTACCGATCTTGTCGAGATCTTGCTCAGTACGTTCGAAAACGGAAGTCCGTTGTCTCGTGCGAACGCATACATGGCTCTCGATCCTTCTGCCATGAGCGAATTTGCGCATACTGTAGCGATGATAGCAATCATGGAAGCCAATGTAGATGTTCCTGCCACATTGCCTGTACTATTGAAGATGATCTCAATGACAGGCACTCCAGTTGGAGTGGCACCTGTTGCCTCAAGATCGCCAATGCAAAAGCATAGCGCAATCAGCCAGACGAAACCAGTGAAGAAGCCAATGTAAACCGACATGACTATCGCCCGAGGAGCTTGTTTCCGGGCGTTCTTGATCTCCTCAGTCATGTGCGAAGGCGCATCGTAACAGCACATTCCGAACGCGGACTGAAGTAGACCCAAGCATGTAGCATACGGCGCATTCCATCCGGTAAAGTTTTGAAAGTCGCTGAAAACATAGCTTGCTGATTGCTTGTGGTCGTTTGTAACTAGTATGGTAATTAGACACACGACGAACGATGCGAGATTCCAGATGAAGATCGCTTTTGAGAGTTTGTTGAGGATATGGGGCAGATAGATATTAGACGCTGCCGCGATAAAGGTGATGAGGTAGGCGACAAGGACTGTGTGCCAGCGTTCTATCGTGAACCCATAGTTGAGCTGGGCCACGCCTAGGATGAAGTTTGTAGCGACAAAGTTGTTGACAGCGCCCATACATATTATTCCGATAAGCATGAACCTGTTCAAATTAGCCTATCATTGAAGCCCGCATGCAGTGATGATACTCACCACCCACAAAGATAGCTCATTGAGCGAGCCCATCGCGTCGGAGCTAGGATAGCCACCCAACTATATTGTCCACCAGCAACAGGATACCTTGGGAAACGGTCAGCCAAGTCCTACAGTGAGAAGCCGATGTTCATACGCGCTACACATCTCAGCCATCGAGTATGCGACAGCAAGTGTGACTAGGCAGACACACAGCCAGCCCCATATCATAACTGGTGGACCTCCACTCTCAACGCCAATGATGAGAACACCGGAAAGTGCAGTCCACGAAGTTACAATACTGAACGAGAAGCCAACCATGCCAAGTAGGCCGAAACTGCGCTTGAGCTCTGAAAAGCACGTCAGTATATGATCAAAGATATCGTGTTAACAAAGCCTACCTTGGGTATAACCCAGTTGTGCGAGCACATCATCGTCGCTGTTGGTCTCGTCGACGACCTTCTTTTCTTCTGGGCTGATCGCCATGTCTACCAGTTCGATGTCCCGAAGACCAAAACGAAGAAGAAGCAAACACACTTATGAGCATGCAGATATCTCCAAACAAATGGCAAGAAGCTTTTCAAAGCGCCGTCCTTCCGTTTAGATATACCTTTACTGGTATCGCGTCAACCCATCTTCCCACAGCCGTTGAACGAGAGGGCCCTATCGACGGCCGAGCCCTGCGTCATCCAGATAACGGCGACTTCCCTTAGGCTATGCTTCCAATTCGGGCAGCCGTCATGCATCTCCCACATGTCTTATCGCGGATCGGGCGTGTGAAGTGGATTGGCCGAGATAGCAAGCGAAAGCGACACTATAAGAAACCGGGGTGCGGCTAGAAGTGGGGTACATGGAATGGAGATAGGTAGGTGGATGTGCGACGTGTAAAAGGCCGGGAATCCGAGTCGTTTCATTACCCTTGGCTTAAAAGCTCCATTCTTTCGAACACAATGCAGAAGCTTCATGAACAACGACGTCGGGGGTTGTATTGGCAAGAAGGCGGTAACAGGTACTCGCAGAGTGGAGATACGTACCTGCCGATCCCGAAAGCGGATACCACGACCCGAAGCGATAGGATCAAGCATGCTCGCGGAAGCTTGAATATTACCATGTATATGAACGTAATGGAGAACCGCGCGGAGACTCCATGTTAAGAATACATGAAGAGGCGACGCGTGCGCCAAAACACTCGAATGCGGACATAGCCGCTGTTCAAACACCCATGATACAACACCATAAAACATCCTCACACTACAACGTCGAGTCTCTACTATTAAGAACATGGCAACTCAAATCTCCACCACGAAACCATACGCTTGGCCACACGACTCTTCCCTACACCCCACATCGACCGCCCTCATAATCATAGATATGCAACGCGACTTCCTCTCACCAGGCGGCTACCTCTCCTCTCAAGGCTATTCCCTCGCACGTTTCGAGTCGTTAATCCCCCGAATCGTCTCCCTGCTATCTACGTTCCGGCGCGCAGGCTTCCCTGTCATACACACACGGGAGGGCCACAATGCTTCGCTAGCAACGGTGAGTAGTAGGGAAGCGCATCGCAGTCGCGTCAATGGCGCGGAAATAGGGAGTCAGGGTCCGTTGGGCCGTCTTCTAATACGAGGTCAAGAAGGGCATGAGATCGTTGAGGATCTGAAGCCTTCGGAGGGAGAATTGGTTATTGATAAACCTGGGCGAGGTGCATTTGCGCATACAGAACTTGATCTCATGTTGAGAGCAAAAGGCGTTAGTAATCTGGTAGTCTGCGGGGTTACGGCAGATGCGTGCGTTAGTAGTACTGTAAGAGAGGCGAGCGATAGGGGGTATGATGTGTTGGTTGTGGAGGATGGGGTAGAGAGTGTTAGTGAAGAGTTGAAAAGGTGGAGTTTGGAGAGCATCAAGGTTGAAGGAGGGCTATTCGGGGTGACGGGAAGCTGCAAAGAAGTGGATCAGGCGGCAGCAAGTTGGATCCAAGGTTAAGACGGCGCAGCTTGAGTCGACTTCACAACAGGGTATTTGGACAGCGATTTGCATGAATATGTATGCATTGACTAAACTAGCCGAATGAAGATCGAAGCTTCATATTGATCATTTCCAACCCACCCATGAACAGAACGCCGTGAAGACCGATAGCCGTGACCAGATCATATCCATAAACAATGTGTGACCATGCGGACTGCCCTCGACCAAGAATCTCCAAGATGGCGTCGATGTCGGGTGCCGATGTGTCGTAATGAGAAGACAAGATGTTTAACCACCGAAACCGTAGAGGGTACGGCCCTGGCGCTTGAGAGCGTAGACAACGTCGAGGGAGGTGACAGTCTTGCGCTTGGCGTGCTCAGTGTAGGTGACGGCGTCACGGATAACGCTCTCGAGGAAGGTCTTGAGGACACCACGGGTCTCTTCGTAGATCACTGCAGTCATGTTAGGATTTGTCCTAGATAGCGACGATGTTGGGCATGCTTACTGGCTGAAATACGCTTGACACCACCACGACGAGCGAGACGACGGATAGCGGGCTTAGTGATACCCTGGATGTTGTCACGAAGAATCTTGCGGTGACGCTTGGCGCCACCCTTGCCGAGACCCTTGCCACCTTTGCCGCCTAGAGAGGTATGTTAGCATTTTTGTCTTGTGTTGATGGTAGACGAGTGACATCGTCAAGATGTAAGAGTGGTTGTGGTAGACGTTGTCGTGATGCGCGGCACATTAGTGGGGCGACGCGTTGAGCCTCAACACCAAGCGCGCCTCACCGCCATGTGCAGCAGCGGCAGCAACGACAACAACATCGATGCAAGGCCAGGGAAAGAGTAACAAAGATGTACTTACGTCCAGTCATATTGCTAAGAGGTTAGTGAGATGGAGGTGATGGGTGTTGGTAATAGACGCGTTGATGCAGCGTCAGTGGTTGGATGAAGATAAAAGCTGGGGGTTGCGAAAAGAGAAGAAAGGGAAAACTCCAAAGACGTGGGCGAGCCGGTTATATAGACAAAGGGAGGCGGGCGCGGCTGCCTCCAGATCACACAAAGTGGCGCTAAGCCCGGGTGGGGCGCGCGAGAACATGAAATCAGAGGCCTTGCCTTCACATTTGGGGGGAAAATCAAAAGCGTGGAAAGCAGCACTTCGAAATGAGCGCTGAGCTTTGCAGGGCAGGCGCGCCCATCTGGCTGCTGCAATAGTCGGGCCTGGGTCCGTGCGCCAACTTCAATCGCGCATTGCCGACGCGACTACAACACCAACATCGACTTTGTCGCAGTCTGACTGCATGCGGCTGCAAAGTGCTGTAGTCTCTCGAAATTGACCGGAAAGGATCCTGGAATGATTATACGCTCTTTTGCTTACGTCTACTGCTTTGCGCGTGCAGCAGCATCATTAACGCCTGCACGACGCGTTCACCGTGTACATGAACTCTACGCCAGCCACCCGCAACCAGCAAAGACACGGCTTATATCCGACGTATTCCGCAACCTCGTTGAATCAAGAACTAAATGACTATCCATAGAACAGTAAATTTAGGTCTGCTTCTTTGGCATAGTTGCCAACTCGTCCTACTTAAACGTTCACGTGTCTTGGAAAGAGCAAGACAAGGTTATAAGCATGCGATGTATGGACCTGGGCAAGAGGCTCATGGATAGAAATAGCAGTACATATCACTTCGAACAATATGCACTTGTTCTCTGAACGTCGAGTACACAAAGAAATTCATTGCGCGGGCTAGCTAATCAATACGGGCCATAAACGAGCGTCATCTTGCAATCTATTCATCGAGTCCAAGGCGTGGCATGACCATATCCACTCGCCACTTGTACCGTTGTCCAAGGCTACAGCGCATCTTACTTTGACTCATCGGCCTCCTTCGCAGTCTCCTCAACAGTAGCCTCCTCGTATACAGGAGGGGCATCGTATGCAGGGAGCTCAGCATATTCCTCCTTCTCTCCGTGCTCTTCCGCATCCTCTACATCTTCCTCGTCAAGAGCAATCGGCTGGTAGCGCTGGCCACGGAACTTGGCGACAGTGATGGCAATGAGACATCCAAGGGCCATACCCACAAGGTATGTAAGGGTACCAGCGAAGATACCAATGAGAATGGGGACGAAGATAGTGAAGAAGGCGCGACGAACGAACATGGAGAAGCGGTGGTGGTGGCCATGATGGCTGTGGTGGCTCATGTGGTGAGGACGGTGGTGCGGGTGAGGCTTGCCAGGGCGGAAGCGGTGCGGAGGCTTTCCAACCATGGTCTCATGCTCCATGGGGTTGTTGGGACGAGCACCAGGGTGGGGTCGCTTGTGGCAGCCAGGGCGGGGCTTGCGCATATCCTTAATCTGATCGATGCGGTCTTCCATAATCTTCTTCCACTTGCAGTAGAGCGGCCACTCATTGCACTCCTTGTCTGTTGGTGTAGCCGGGCTAGGCTGGGCCTCGTTGAAAGATGCGATCATGAGGCGACCTTCGGAGTTCTTCAGTACGTTGATCTGGAGCGCGGGAGGGTTGACAGCGGTGCCTTCGACCGAGGTGATTTGGAAGGTCATCGGCAGGAGCTCGGTGCCCTCCTCTGAGATGGTCTCCGCACCATCGTAGCGGAACTCGTAGCTGGTGATGCGTAGGCGCATGCCGTCTCCGGAGGTAGGGTCAATTTGTACAACATGGTAGGGCTCAGAAGCGAAGCCAAACGATGGCGGGTATAGTTGAGAGTTGTCCAGGTTTAGGGCGTTGCCCTGAGGTCCAACGTCGAAGTCTAGGCGCTGTTGACTGTTAGCATATAAGGCTGTGATGCATATGGCCGACTACTTACAAAGGCATTTCCAGCGTCAGCCTTCCAGTTAAGAGTTTCTCCATCATATGTCGCAAAGGCGCAACCAGGACATTCTAACGCAACAGATCGTTGGCTGGGGTTGATGGCGAGAGATTCAAAAGCGTGGTCGTCCCCGAGCTCTTCCGCAGTTGTCATGGTAGAAGGGATGAGCACGGCGCTGGCGGCCAGCGCCAAATGGGCAAAAACGCCCAACTTGCTAGGAGACATTGTAGGTTGTATTCAGGAAGAAAGCCAAGTGATTGAAAACGAAGAGATGTTGCAGGTACAGAGTTTAGAGGTGGACGAAACAAAGGAAGGCGATGCCTCAGCCCATGCATTACGATTGCCGCCGCGTCATCTGTCACGTGAATGGGCCGGACCCTGAAGTTTAGCTGTCAATGTGTCGCACGCACTTCGTGAAACCATCGCTGAATCAGACAAGTCGACCAATAAAGCTAGCCTGTTGGCAGAGTGCTCTTCCAATTGCAAAAGTTCGCACTGCGGCTTTCTGCACAGTGTACGCATGGAATAATGCTGTACCGGAGCTTCTCCGACAGTCGTCCCCAGTCATTGTCATTTACACACAGAGCAAGATGTCGCATGCGGCATCTTCTGGAGACCCTAGCTTAATCTACAGCGCACAACGGCAATGTTGATGTTTTGGGGGCTTACAGCGATGGATGTAAGCATAGCC